CATATCTATCAGTTAATAGAGTTCGATATTCATCGTTAGATTGTGACAGTGGAAGGTAGTGCTGTTATGTCGTCCGGCCTGATAGTAGATGGCTATGCTGTCATCCTTGTATTGTCTTACGTGACTTGCCACTATCCATTCCCCAATTTCGATTTCGGTTTCTATAACCGAATGATGTGTCATTGCTCGAATGGGGTTTCGTTTTTTAACATTAAGCATGAAGGTATTTGCATCAGGCAATCTGGATAAGAAACTGGTCAGGTTCACTAAACAGTCAGTTTGGCCAGCTGTACTCATAACCGTGGTAGAATTAACCTATGCACCAGGTTCCGCTGTTCGCTCAGTCTGGAAATCACCTCAACCATAGTGAGAAACGATTTTGAAGCGATTCTTAGGTGTCGCTTGGATGTATTTATTCTTGAACGCGGCTTCCGGGTCACTCTGACGTCCACCGCCCACTAGACAGCACAAGATTGAGCAACGACTAGGATTCTTTGTGACCTGTTGTGCCATCACGACTTCAGGCTTTCGTCGGTTACTCGGTCTTGAAAACCATAACCACGATATGGACAAAGCGCGGCTACGGGCAGCAGAACAAAGTGGCATCAATGGTAGGAACAATGCCTACCTGGCAGACAGCGAAGTATGGCAGTTACGCTGCAATGAAACTTCAGTTGGGCGAGGTTGCGATACGGTACGGTTCGGAGAAGGTTTACAATGCACTTTAATTTCAGAATGAAACCACCGCGAAGGAAGATGCAATATATTTAGATAAAGTGTAGTAAATGCAAACAAATCGGAACGCAATACCAAATGTTGGCGTTAATCAGCATTATATGCACGTATGAAACGGCAGCAGTTAGATAAGGAATAGACGAGTTCGTGGTAAACGCGCATGGTGCGTGGGTGTCCTGCGGGCTGACTAATTGGGGTTTTGCCGTTCGATCCCCGGTGGCGGTGGATCTTTAACCACAGAGCAAGCGTAAATGGAAAAACGTAACTCTATGAATAAATATGTTGTAATCATATAAATAAAAGTTCGTCAACGATGCTATCGGAATATACTAATTTCAAAACTATGGGTACCTAAGGATACCAGAAAAACGAGTTTAACTGCAGGGGAAATAAACACTGAATAGTACTCATGAGCAATCTTATGCAAATGGGAAGAGACATCAAATTACGAATGGTAATTACCAGTCATATTTCCTCCACACTTAAACAACATTATTCCTACAAATAATTTTCTGCACTGTAAATTTTCATCTCTTTCTATCCTGTGACAACTGTTCGGGCACCATTTACGTGGCCATTATGTAGTGGAACAGAACGAATTTATAAACAATAATTTTGTTCTCGTTTAGTTCAGATCAGTTCTCATTTCAGAAAGAGTACTCCGACTACTCCCAGTAAAAATTGATCCACACCACGAGAATGAAGTTGACTTAAGCGAAAGGGTAGGGTACAATAACTGAGAACTTTTACTAACATTCAACGAACTGGTTGACTCGTTTGTCTTACTTCGCCTAGATGTATGCGTCCTAACGAGATAATTTTGGTTTGATCTACATTAATTCCTTCAGTTTATCACAATGTGAAGAGTCAGTCGACAATGAGAGGAAAAATTGGTCGATTCTTTCACGGGGCATCCAACTTTTTGTGTTTAAGCAGTCAAAGTTCTACTAAGGCACACCCTATATTGGATTGGATGCATGAGAATTCCTTTTCTGTTTTTTTTCTCGAACCAGTTGTTGTTGTATAATTCGATAGATTACGTTATTATAATATTTCACGGTATATAATATTTATAACAAAGAAAAAGGTCCATGATTTGCTAGCCCTCGAATGACTTCCGGCTTGGACAGGCCAAAACAGCTGAATCGTTTTGGAGAATTCATATCCGGAGCTTTTGACTAGCCAAAGCCTAGCCCACAAGGAAACGAGGCGGTATGTGAAAACCGCGATCCATTGGGTGCCGTCGTTCCGTTCATCGGATCATACACCCTTTGGACGGGGTCAAACATCCAAGGTGTCCAATAAACCTCGGTATCCAATTACACCGGTGACGACTGTCAGAACCAGAAAGATGTGTCTGGGGTTCGTAGGCCTTGCCTTGTTTGATTTGGAATCAAGGGTTTTACCGAACTCCCCTAAGTGAACCGCTGGTGGTTCACCGACCCAGTTATAGCCCCGGATGTTGGCCTTTTTGGTCTTCTCACCAAGGTGGGGAAACTCCGACACCACGCGAAGACCGTGAGTATAGCTTCCTCAACAGAGGGTATTAAAGACGGTTGGTCATGTAGGTGCATTTCGCGGGAGAAGGGTGAGCAGTCACATCTCAAGATACCCACTTCAGATCATATTGAGGTTTTTGGAAACATTCTATAGAGTAGCATTTTTAATAAGAACGATATTCTTTCTCTCATGGTTTTTTCACAAAACCCGTTTTCTAAGGATCGCATGAGTATGAGACTTACTACATCGTTTGTCATAAATTGATGTATTTTCCTAGAAAGAACAAAATCGGTTTGGAAAATTTTAAAACTCGATCAGAAACTCCGTTCTATTATTCTCCAGGGTAAATAAACTGTTTCGATTGAAAACTGATTTCTCATTGGTAAACATTTCAAATGAAAGACGATCCATCACATTCTGCACTCTTTCTGATCATTGCCAGGTCCGATTTTGAATCGCCTCGGGCGTTGTCTAGCCTCGGCTGCACCGGATGAAACTGGACGACTAACCCCTCCGGGAACTTTCGCCGGACCCCATTGGATTGATTTAGCCGGTTCCAGTGGTACCCCTATGCATATGTCTTCATCCAGTCCGGTTTCTTTCAATTCCAACCCTCCGGTGACCCACACTAGCACTTTCCAGATGCTCTGTTTTCCACAACGCTATACCCCAGCTCACTTTGAGGAAGTTGGACGTGCGCTGCTCATCGCGATGCTGGATCATAGTCAAACTAACCCTTGGCCTCGTATTGCCACCTTGGCAGGACCAAATAGTGATATTGGTATCGGCAATATACCTACACTAATAGGCATGCCCGAGTTCGCACATATGCGAGTGAGTGTATTTTACTTGTCAAGCGCATCCATCCATCAACCTCTTTTCCGTTCGACTTTGAGACTGATTGTCCATTTGTTTTAGAAGAACCATCTGAAAGAAAGCAATATAGATGAATGAGCTCCTGTTTATAGGACACTGATGATTTTATCTAAATTTTAGGATTTCTTACTCGTCAGTGGTGGCAATTTCACAACCAGGTTTCCCACAATTTCAGAACAAATACATCAATTTACAGCACAACTCCACTTCTATTTGGTTTAATACAACCAAACGGTATTCTTACAAATCTGTCTGAAAACACCATTCCATAACCCTGATATGTCAACTGAATAAGCAGTGTAGAGATCGCTCAAGGAGTAGAATAGATAACCGTGATCGCACACCTACTCAACGTCTTATCACAATAAAATGCTTTGATTAGAGTACATGTTGAGCATATCATCGGTGTGTGATATTTTTCAAGACAGTTCGTGGTTGGAACAGCATCAATGGTGACCTGGCCTCTCCGCACTGAGGATGCTAACCAACTTTCGATGTATTTATTCGAAGTGTTGCTCGTGTCTGGGGCAACATCAAGTGAGTAAAGCTGAGATTCGTCGTCTTGTGTGTTTTGGGTGTTAGTGGTTCTTCTCTAGAGAAAAAAATCACTCTATGCCGCCTCCGCTAGTTCTGTCACGTTTTCCGTATGCGTACCCATCGTCTACCTCCGCGTGCTCTCTATACAAGACTTGAAGCAACGTCGCGGCGGTTAGACCGTGACCCGGCATAGTGATATAAAGACCTCAGTGCCAGCACTGGCGCTTCGGTTGGGGCATCCTATCTTCCACTTTGGGGCCCAAGGGATGAAGATTGTTATTGTTTTGAGAATCTGGGAGATATTTTTCAGAATAGAAGTTAGTGGTGCGAATTCTGTGCGATCTGTCTGTCACAATCCCGAGCAAAAGATAAAACGTAGAAAATATCAAACAGCGTACTGCTTCTTTTTCCACGCCGTTCCCGTTTTGTACCCGAATCCCGTTTTACCATTATTATTATCGTCTCATTGGCACTGTGCTTGTTCTCAAGCTGGTGATATATATATATATCAGACAGGTAAATCTAACCTATAATAAATGCTTTCCATCCGAGAATGCCTATCTTGTCATTTATATTCTCAAAATCACCTCATTGCAAAAGCTTTTATGTGCCATTATTGACCAGTCTTTTTTCTTTGTCCATTAATCCATATCCTCGTTATCTCTGTTTTACTCTCGGACAGGCGTTAAAAGATTGGGTACGGAAATTTGTTCGGGGATTGTCCCACTCGACTGCTGGTGGAGGTGTTCATGCTTCCTCGTCCTCTTGTAAACCGTTGAATCAGAGAGGGACACAGAGTCAATCATTACCCTTAACCAACCATAATAGAGCAATGAGCGATCGCTACTCAGTGACTGGTGGTATGCCACAACGACTAAGTCGAACGAGTAAAAGTGCCACGCATTCGAAATTGACCCCAGTCTCAATCGGGACACCATCATTTACGACTGCAGCGCCCGCCAGCACAGCAACTCAAAGTATAAGCTTTACAGCTCCGTCAACCAATCAGATTAACACATCACCACAGCAGCTGCAACAGCAACAACAACAACAGGAGCAATATCAACCACGAAACACATCCTCATCCCATCCAAGGACACCGCTAAACCCGATTCGTACGCACCGAACACATCCAAGTTACAGTGTAGCAAGTGGATCCAAATCATGCGCAATGAAAACGCCCGACTCTCCGAGACTGAGGACACACACCAAAGCTAAGTGGACAAACAGTACAGGTGATCTGCAAGTGAACATGCTCGGAACCCAGCTATCCGAAGGATTGAACTTGGGCGACGATTCACTCAGCACCTCGGTCACTCTTAGCCGAGAGTCGAGAACAAGGCCAACCCCGGTCGAGTCCACGATGATTGAGGGAGTCACACTGTCCGGGAAAATGAGTTTTTCCGAAGCGAATGCATCAAATAACGATGGTGAAAAGAAATCCATTTCTCAGAATAAACTTGGTACCATAGTCGAACCGAAACGGTACGTCTGCGGATAATCTATCTGTTCATGTTGGGTACCCAATAGAAAACTTAAACCCAATGAGTTCCTAATACTGGCCTGACAGTGACTTACCACACGCTTTCTACCTAGGATATCCAACATAAATTCTTTATATTTCTAATCTTAGTTGATTCATCTTTATTCACTCCCACCTATCATAGTATTACTTTATGTAGTTGCTCCTTATTATCCGAGAGGGATTGAATAGATAATCACAAAATACACTATCTGCGTTGTACAGGCTGAATCTCATCTTTCACCTTTCTGGATACAATTGATGATGTACCCTATAAACTGCTTGCTCGTCAGTTTAGATTTGGCATACCCAGTCGTCATTATCGCCTATGGATTAATGTCCGTAACGTAGTCCGTAATTCTCCTGTTACGCAACACAGTCTAATAAATCTCAAACCTTCTTGTCCTTTCCTCTTGAGGCGCTTGGGATGACAGGGATTGTGTTCTTGTGAGAAATCGAAAATGTCATTGTACGCAGAGTTTGACCCGCGTGATACATCGATTCAATAGCTTGATTGATTTAATAACCTACAACTCAATTCAAAGTATACAAATTTTCCAGCTTGATTTAGGCTAACCCACGTGGTAGCCCTGAACACTTATTACCAGGTAGGTGGAATTCAGCTGATTGGTGCACGTCTCTGTATACCTTTTCGACTTCAATTGAATCCGCCTTAATTTCAAGTGAATCCAATCTATCGCGTTCTATGCAACCCCACAAAGTGATTGGTGTTTCAGCAGTAACACATCATCAGTTGTCCGCATCTATCAAAACCTCGTCGTGAGGGAATGATCTGATTTCTCCATAGACAAACAAATGTACTTTTTGATTAAGTTACCAAGCGAGGCTGAAATTTCAATCGGGTGACCGTTCGTCCCCCGGCATGATGTCCTTGACCGTTGATCGAGTGAACGTTAGACATGACTGAACGAACTCGGCGCAAATTGACCTCGGTCGGTTGGGTGAAGAAGTGATTCACGTCAAGATGGATCGATAACTCGGTAACCATGCTCTGGTATGAATGTTTTAATCAATCACCACATGAGTGGGTTCAGTCTAAGTCCTCTAGCCTAACGAGTAAATTCCATTGAGACTGATGTTCCCTCGAATAACACTGATTCCTTTGAACTAACCGCAACTGCCTACATATTTCTGGTATTGAAAGGTACACTGGGCAAGATGTTTAGTCATTATACAAAGATACAAGGAAAGAACGAACAGTATTTCACCTGAATAGCAAGATCAAATTCAAACTCATTCACGACCTAATTGAAATTGCGTTTTTTTTCTCTTCATATACCGGAGTAACTGTTACGTTCTATCCATAATGCCTGTGGCAACAGTCTACCTACAGTTGCTCTCTTTGTTACTCAGTAGAATGTGATTGGGTGGATTCACTTGAAGTTACGGCGGATTCACCTGAAGTTACAACGGTTTCACTTGAAGTTGAAAAGGCATATTGTCACAACGCAATTGTACAGTCGAAGTCCAACCGTCGTGTGTTACTCAGATCATTTGAGTAGTATGAAAGTGAACTTGAATTATCCGATTTGCTAAGTCAGTTAAGCGTGTGTTGCTGGAACACCTGCAGTCAGCACTCCACAATTGCTTTACCACAATCACAAACTTGCAGTAGCATATATTCAATGAACCTAACTTTAAAATGTTGTATGCATTCTGTATTCATTCGTTCCTTCAAATAACTGTCGAAACTTTTTCGCACCATTCCACGGTATGCCCTTCATTCCGAATCAGTGTCTTTTATGCAGTATTCAGAGATATCTTTTTTAGTATCAATCATTTGACCCCACAGAAAACTTTTGTCACACTTTTTTCAACCGTAAATGTGCTTTACTTCCATGTGCAGAGCAAAGATTAGCGCGGGAAAATACCGGGGGATGGTGGAGGCGGAAACAAATCAGTTATCGACTGACACTAACATTGACAACTCTCCGACAAAAGTTGACCAAGCCAAACAGCTTGTTTTGTCCGCTGGAACGCCCTTTACAATTCGTCGGTTGATTGTGTCCAAATTAGCGATTGGTGTATTGTACGGGCAAAGAAAACAGCACTTACAGCTTGTCAAAATCAAGTCGAATTTTTCACCCCGCGATTGCCCGGGTAAAAACTGGGTATTGTCAAGGTCAAACTGTGTAGTACCAACTGAAGTTCTTTACCTCTCATTTGGTCCTGTAGGACAAACGTCCCTGGGACAACACGCAACCTAGGCACATCAACTTTGCATGTTCGACAATCTGTGAGTTGAAAAGCTATAACATTCACATTGGTGTCTACCCAAGTGAGTTTGTATGTGTGTGTGTGTGACAGAGGGAGAGACTATCAACCTCTGGTAATGTGTAAAATGATCATCAGTTCGGTGTATTTGGCATGCATGATCGGCCTAACAACAAAGACATCTCGTCTGGATACACTTGAGAAGCCCAAACGCTATCTGCAGTCTTTGGGAGGTCCATATGCACACAGTGCAGTTTGGTTCGTTTTTAAACCAAACAACTTGGAACGCGTTGAATGATGAGGTTCTTCAGTTAACCTATGCAAACTCGCGATATTAGACGTCAAAAAATCAAGTAAAAGTGAAACTAAGAGTCTATTATCAAGAGATTAAACTGTACGTTAGTTTATCCCATTGCGCATTCTTCGATTGGAATCCACATATTCCATGAGGGGTGGTTACAATCGACTTTGGATAGAATTTGTTGATGCTATGAACACACCGGTTATGTTTTGGGACTGTACTTATCTCTTCCGTCCTAATCACTTGTGATAATACCAGAGACAACTATTACCGTTCGGTTCAGGTGAAACGGGTATTGAAATCTTGCAAACTGAAACTAAGTTGAACACTAACTGTTCTTTGTCTCGTCCTCTCGAACCTGCATACCTGTCCCAGCTGCTCAGAAGTTTGTGCTGCGATTCGCCCACTACAGTCCTCTCTGTCATAACCTCAGAGAAACGCAATAAAACTTCTGAAGAGAAGTATAAAAATATTCTGCCTTTTGATGTAACTCAATCAGATTTGATCGCTGTTTGCCTTTATTTACCAATAATAAACTTATATATTTATATATATATATATATATAGCCTCAGATTTACTGGGGAATATCAGGCAAGTAATTCTAAAACATTAGTGAGAACTGACGAGGAATGATAATTTTCGACCATGTTCTAAAACCGTTTGTTGCGGTTTTTCTCAGCCCCCTCGAGGAGATTCCTATCGAGATGCTTATGTGAGAGTTGGTGTGCCAAACAAATCTTTGTACAGTGAGAAATCTCGAGACGATGCGACAAGTTCCAGAAACCAAAATAAACAACTTGATCCGTCACTTTTCACTCCGCCTTTGATTCTTTCCCCAAGAACTGAAGGCAGACGAAATGCTTTTGAAATTAACAAAACTGTTGAAAGTATACCGCACCTTTTCGATTTAAGAAGCCTGTTATCATTTGAAGGTATCTTGTTACTCCTTGAACAGCGTCTCATTGAGTACAGTAATGAGTCCATGAAGCAAAAAGCTCCCCCAAGTGATGAAACATAACAGCCGTCACAATGTAACAGTTTTCAAACTTCTGGTATACAAAACGTTTGGCGGTAGACACGACAGCCACACACTTGCACGTTGATTGCCCCTGTTATCTGCGCCTCGTCCTATTCCGTGTGAACATACTGGCACATACATACATTAACCGTATTCTGAAACAGGCACTAAAGGATTCGGCAGCTGTCTGTGGCTGGACTGAGCAATCATTCGGCCTGATCGCTATGCTGAGGCGGACCCTTTTAAACTGTCCCTTGCCATTTTAAACACCAGAAAGAAAGAAAAGTGATATGCTACTGTTGTAATCGAACGACTCAGATACCTTGGAATGAAATAGTGCCGGACGCTTCGCTGATGTTGACGCGTCACTTACACTGTGCCACAGTGGGTCAGTTCGCTTCACGATTGTGAAGCTGTGAGCTTGTATGCAGAAGACGTTCGTCGACAAGAAATTCTCAACAATAGATGCTTTCATGTGGGATGAGGCCAGTGGGTTTGCAAAACTGAAGTATGGCCTCGTACATTTGAAAGTATTTCCATCATAAATTCACGGCGAATCCGGATGAGTAAATACCACTGGTTAGGGCACTTGTTACGCCTGTCTGTCGGTAGCCTACCGCACCCCGAACTGATTCCAATTGCTGTTTTACGTTGAAAGAAATCTCGTGGATTGCAACACAAGCTTTGAAGATATTAGGCGGGGCGGATATCCAAAAGACCCCGTGATTCATAGATTGGGATCATTGAAGAACATNTCAGAAGAAATATGTATGCATATTTAATTTTTTTTGTTTATGTAATGGCCTTGAAATGGTTCATCTATTCATCTCTCAAGCAGGTCAACTCCCTATTCACCATAAATATTCCTATGCTTTTTTTTAGCACATTCCAAGTTTGGCTACAGTAAAATACATTGTATTTTTTGATTACTCCGTTGTAGCGCTCCAACGCGATCGAAAAATTGCAGTTTTCCATGGACAGCAAACAAATCACTCGTCGGTTTCGAAGGNGAAAAAAAGCAACAAGCTTGTTCCGTCCCACCGACATCTAATCGAAGTGTTACACAACGACGAGGAGATGAGACATCAAATGCGTCCACCACTCTTAGCGAAGCTAGACACGTAAAGCGAAGACAGATCAAACTGGCCGAGTCTATTCTAACAAGTTACGTGGTTAATTCACGTCAGCGACGCTCGGCCCAGTTCCCGTCAAACAGTGCTCGTGCGGGGGGCTACTTGTGGTCGCGAAACATGCGAACCGGTGGGAATGGAAATTTGTCCGTGTGTGGCGAGTCGGTCTCGAAAACCAACTCGACAAGTCAGAATAATCCAAGACATTCCAATGCAGTAAGTATATTGGTGATCTAGAATCGAAAACCCACATATGCAACTCTGTGTTGGGCGTGATTTTGACTTACAGGATTTCATACATCTTAAGTGGAGAGTAAACTAGAAAACTTGATCTATTTAGACAAATAAGTCGTACCTGGTGAACGCATTACGGATAAAGTGTTAGCAGGCACACAGAAAACTCGCTTGGCCTTTGCCAAATTGCGATCTGTGGGGCACACAGCCAAATTCAGTTGTTTGTGAAGGTTCGTGTGTGTACTCCAACTGCCCGACCGTCACGATGGAACAACACCGACAGACTATCGGTGTTCGAACACCGTATGTGATATTTGATGAAACAGGTAATGCGGGGCAGAAGTTGGTCAGAATAAGACCTGGCGTGAAGGTAAGAAAACCCTGGATACATAACCTGGGTATATAGGTCTGTTGAATCGATTCTAACTCACGCCTTTTCAAGGTTAACCACATGAAAATGACTTGATTTCACATCTCAATAATTTGTTATGGCTTGTTTAAAGCACGGGGCTTTCGCACCACTGCTAGGTTCATGACTGGAATAAAACAATTTCTCATTTTATTCTGTACCTAAACGACTTTTAAGCTATGGACAGATTACATAAATTCCTCTTTTGATGTTCATCATTACCAAACCCCACAATCACATATAATGGTTGTTTGTGAGACACAAAAAGTAACTAATAATGTGTGAAAGAATTATTTCTTCAACGGATATCCTGCATAAAATCTGTGGTATTTTGAAGAGTAAATCAATACTGACAGGATAAGTTTAACATTTAATTAAATTGGTGCAAATTTGCAGAAAACGGAGTATGTGCATTGTGTGCATAAAACAGTAGTTTTGCCATTTGCTCATTAGAAACATGTAGATCGAAGACTCCAGCGAGCCACAGTCTTTTCGTAACAGCAGCAATCCATGGTAAGTGTTCTGCAGCTTATTTGCGACAACATGTTCCATTTGTATATTTTGGTTCCGGGATTTAGGTCCCTCAAACCCAATTTATTATTTCTTTAGCAGGTCGCTTTTGTCTGTTTGTGTGTGTGACCTCGCCCTCGGTTCACGGCAGAACTCCTTTTCGAAAGACTAACTGTCTCACCTTATATACATCTATATACATACATATATATATATCACATAAAATGAAACGGGAGTTGTGAAAACATAAGTATTTTATAAGTAACTAATTTGGGCATGTATACGGACTGACTGTACTTTGAAAAAAATAAATCAAACCATATTTGTCGACTTTTTTCAACTCTTAAAACCTATAACGAACTGAACTGAGTAATGAAAAGTAAAGATTATTCTAATTCAAACTTAACTCGGTAAATTTTAATTTCAATGTCAGGAGAAAATTTTTTGACAGATGGTTACTGTATCCGTCAGATAGACAAGATAATCAAAGAATCAACTGACATCCATTCGGTTAATCAACCTTCAAATATAGTAAAAAAAGGTTTAGCTGTACAGCCTAATCTGTTGTGGTTATGTGGCTAGAGGGGATTGTAACACATGATGATTCCAACAGTGCATGGCCTGTGGTTTTATTATCCACAAAGGATTTGTAGGATTACACATCTGATCCAGTGCCATCAATTCCAAAAGGGTAGGGAATCCGCAGGGAGGTGTATCATTTGTATCGTACTCTTAGTTGGCTTCTCTAGAATAACAACAACAACAACAACAAAAAGTTGAAACCGATTTCATCTGCCACAAATGTTCGCATCAGTCATACATCAAAATATAATGCTTTCCATAGCTCAGTCCCCTCCCTCACCACCACCACCAACAACAACAACCTTATCTGATTTTCAGTACAAGCTTATACAATAATCAAATGTTTATCAGGGGTTATTGATCAGATCTCATGTAATCCACCGTACGAAGATCGTTTTATCGTATTGTGTGTGTACAATAAATTTTAGTCTGTCTGTATGGAGTTCACGCTGGTTGTTCAGGTCAGCATCCCCTTGATCTGTGCATTCTGCGTTCAGTATTTCCGTCTGCGGAATATCATCAAATTTAACTTGACAATTGTGATTTAATACCGAAATACAGCTCTCGGATAGCAAATGGAAAATGATTGGCACCATAACTCTGATGTTTTTGTTTCAATCGGAGTACATGGCATTGGATTGATAACTGAATCTGAATCCAGACTGTGTACCAAACAAATCCCGGCACAATAATCTTTATGACAAAGAAAAAGGTCCATTATTTTCTAGTGGATGGAATAGCTCCTGGTTGGTCAAATCAAAGAAGGTGAATCCTCTTGGGGATTTGCCATCCCGAGCCTTTAGCTAGTCAAGGCCTTACCCGTAAAGGAGTGTGGTGTCGGTGTCCGATTCTTCGGATCATATGCCCTTTGGATGGGGTCAAACATCCAAGGTGCCCCATAAAATTCGATGCCCAAACGAGCAGGTGACCACTGCCACAACCGGAAAGATGTGTGATTCGTGCATCTCTTCTTGGTTGGTTTGGAATCAAGATTTTTGGCGAACTGCTAGTAGATTAACAACTCGAAACCCAGTCAACCTGATGAACATTGCCACAACCAGGGAGGTGTACTTGTTCAATTCTAGACAATTGTACAATGAAACTTCCCTAGATTAAAGACTAAAAGAAAATATGGAAAATAAGAGAATTGTGGTAGTTGTACTGGGGTCATAACTCACCACAGTTAAACCAATATAATGGTTATTCTTAACACGTAACACTCGTGGTGATTTTCAACTACTTTGTATTCTACTGTTCGAAAAATATTCACCTATTTGGACAGTTGAATTAGGATGTGGCTTAATAAATCGTTTTCATAAAATGCTTCACCGAATTCCTAAACATTTCGTACCATCGAGCCATGGTCGAGATCTATGTTGTCTGGTTTCAGCGGTGATTGATAATTCATCTGAAGCAATCATGGAATGGACTCGGGTAAGGACAACTTAGAATATCGTAGATTATCTGTCTAGTGTTCACTCTGACTCTTCACTTCCAGCAGTGTTGCTCTATCTCTAGGACAGTGATATTGTGGCGTCTTATTCAAATCTCCTATCGAGTTAATTGTTCAGTACACAAATGCATTCCTTCTGATCCGTTTATTGCTCTACGGCCGTAGCTCTGAGAGCGAGAGAGTTAAAAACTACATCCCAAGTCGATATTACTGGTTGTCAGGATTAAAGTTATTCAGACGTAATCTTCTCGACTTCGTGCTGTAATCGTAAGTTTGGAGGCAACGAAAGACGATAACTGCCCCCCCCCCCCTGT